AACACACGCACACACACACACACACACACACAAACACACACACACACACACACATACACAAACACACGCACACACACATACACAAACACACGCACACACATAAACACACAAAAAGTATAGATAGTAGATAGTTGTTCATTAATGACTTCTCTATTTCTCTGTGGCCACCTCAGCAATGACCTAAATTGTGCCGATGGGAATGGGAAAACGGAAGTCTGCCAGTTTTTGTCACAGACCCAGTTTGTCACAGACCCAGTTTGTCACAGACCCAGTTTGTCACAGGACCAGTTTGTCACAGACCCAGTTTGTCACAGGCCCAGTTTGTCACAGGACCAGTTTGTCACAGGACCAGTTTGTCACAGGACCAGTTTGTCACAGACCCAGTTTGTCACAGGCCCAGTTTGTCACAGACCCAGTTTGTCACAGACCCAGTTTGTTACAGACCCAGTTTGTCACAGACCCAGTTTGTCACAGGACCAGTTTGTCACAGGACCAGTTTGTCACAGGACCAGTTTGTCACAGGCCCAGTTTGTCACAGACCCAGTTTGTCACAGGCCTCGACTGTGCCCTGCATGATGGAAGTTATCACTGACACTCTCAAAAAGAGCAAATGAATGATTGATTGATTGTATCTATTGAATTTTATATTTTATTTGTTTTTAAAGAAAGAACATTCATTGCTGAAATTTTACTGAGTAATTTAAATGTATGCTTTGATTTGCATACACAAAGGAAGAAATATTGAACAACAATAAGCTGAATTGACATTTTAGAGGGAGTATCTGTACACCGCCACTTTGAAGGTGGAGAATAAAAAACTTAACTTGAAACTACAGTGTTATAATTATGATTGTCATCGATACTCAAATACTTTTTCAAAAATTGTGACAAACTGGGCCTGAGACAAATTGGTCGGCCACCCGTAAAACCCCCCACCTACATTCAAATTTCAAAATTCCTCACAAAGATTGTCCTGTAGCTCAGTTGTGTAGTGACATAACATAAACATTTGCTCAATGTCTCTAAATGCCACATCAGAAGAATGCTCACTTGAAGCCGGATTTTCCTTGTTTGTGCGCACGGGGCGTTGTCTCTTTTCTGGGAAGTGGCAGCAGAAAGCTTGTGTGTGTGTGTGTGTGTGTGTGTGTGTGTGTGTGTGTGTGTGTGTGTGTGTATCTGTATGTGAGGAGGAGGGGGAGGGGAAGGGGGAAGTATATAGTATTACCCGTCATGGCACGGTGATTCCACCTGAATGGTTTACGACAAAACGCCGTATGTGCCAAAGGGGCCAATGCAGGGAGATACATTCCTTTCCTTTCTCCTTTATTCACCATCTGTATACAGTCGGAAACAAACAACAAACAACTTGTCGAGTGCTCGGGTGTGGTCTGCTCCTTAATTGCTCTAGATCTAAACAAAGCATCTATCGTCCTTGTGAAAATGGCAGCTTGCACTTTATGCTTCCCATGAAGTTGAATTGAGATTATTTCAGAATGCTATCCTCAGGTCTGCCGGGGTAAAACTATGGATTGTAAAGCGCATAGAGCTTGCTGTTGAGCGGAGATTTGCGCTCTACAACTGTTATCTGTTGTGTCCCCGAGGTTTTATGTACCCCGCATAATTTAGCAAAATTTGATCATTTTTTGCATAATTTCTGATTATTTTCCTTTATCATTCTTTGTTAAAATTAACAGAATCGCTGAATTTCGCATTTTTGGGCTCAGTTTGCAGAATTTTAGAATCTTTTCTTGCATAAAACGACGGGACAGTCTATACTTTTATAATTATCTTTGTTTCTCCTCGATCTTTTCTTCGTAGCCTAAGGTGTTTTCTAGTAACACAGAATTCGATCTTTGGCACTTAAATGACCTTTTTGTATTGTAAGTGCCGTAAAACCTTTACCAAAGAAACAAAACCATAAAACGTTTGGACATTTTGACATGACTGGTTGGAAATGTTGACAAGACTGGTTGGAAATGTTGACAAGACTGGTTGGAAATGTTGACAAGACTGGTTGGAAATGTTGACAAGACTTGTTGGAAATGTTGACATGACTGGTTGGAAATGTTGACATGACTGGTTGGAAATGTTGACATGACTGGTTGGAAATGTTGACATGACTGGTTGGAAATGTTGACATGACTGGTTGGAAATGTTGACATGACTGGTTGGAAATGTTGACAAGACTGGTTGGAAATGTTGACATGACTGGTTGGAAATGTTGACATGACTGGTTGGAAATGTTGACAAGACTGGTTGGAAATGTTGACATGACTGGTTGGAAATGTTGACAAGACTGGTTGGAAATGTTGACATGACTGGTTGGAAATGTTGACATGACTGGTTGGAAATGTTGACAAGACTGGTTGGAAATGTTGACATGACTGGTTGGAAATGTTGACCAGACTGGTTGGAAATGTTGACCAGACTGGTTGGAAATGTTGACATGACTGGTTGGAAATGTTGACATGACTGGTTGGAAATGTTGACATGACTGGTTGAAAATGTTGACAAGACTGGTTGGAAATGTTGACAAGACTGGTTGGAAATGTTGACATGACTGGTTGGAAATGTTGACATGACTGGTTGGAAATGTTGACAAGACTGGTTGGAAATGTTGACATGACTGGTTGGAAATGTTGACATGACTGGTTGGAAATGTTGACATGACTGGTTGGAAATGTTGACATGACTGGTTTGGTTTCTCTTCTTTTCTCTCACCACACATTTTTTGTGCTGCTAACTTTCATGACCAATTCTTGTTTTGTTAACTTTCATGACAAATTCTCGCTTGTTAACTTTCATTACTAATTCTTGTTTTGTTAACTTTCATCACAATTCTCGTTTTGTTAACTTTCATTACTAATTCTAGTTTTGTTAACTTTCATCACAATTCTTGTTTTGTTAACTTTCATCACAATTCTCGTTTTGTTAACTTTCATTACTAATTCTAGTTTTGTTAACTTTCATGACTAATTCTTGTTCTGTAAACTTTCATGACAATTCTTGTTCTGTAAACTTTCATGACAATTCTTGTTCTGTAAACTTTCATGACAATTCTTGTTCTGTAAACTTTCATGACAATTCTTGTTCTGTAAACTTTCATGACTCACTTTATTTGTATTCACTTTCAGGTTTGGACAATCTTGGCTCTTGTGGCGTGTGGAATGTTCCTCGGTTTTCCCCAGGGATCAGACACACAGACACAGACCAACACATCAAGTAAGTTACACGGAGAGCGATCTACTCACCAAGATCACGTGATCACATGTGCACGTGCATAGACTGTGAAACGTACATAAAAACGCATATTCACACGCGCGCACACACACATACACACACAAAATAGATAGATAGATAGATAGATAGATAGATAGATAGATAGATAGATAGATAGATAGATAGATAGATAGATAGATAGATAGATAGAACTCAAATTCAACAAAAGCTGTTGGATTCCCTGTTTTGCTTTGTTTGTTTGTTTTTCATTCAAGAAATCAAATTTTAAAAGTAACTCGGTTTCGACAAAGTCGCTCGCTTCCATCCAGGGTGAACTGCCCCCGCAGACGTGCCTTCGCTCCTTTCTCTCCCACAACAAACTTGATCTATTCCGGGAAACCATCATCCCTGGCGCCTGCATCGTGAACCGTTATTCGCTTTGCCACGCCTATTGTGTTTGCCTTATACGACCAATCAGCGGCCTTCTTCCATAGATCTAGATCTAGCAGCAACACGCGTGTTATAAGCATGCACAATGCACACATGTCGTGGCATGTGGCGTGTGGTGTGTGACGTGTGACGTGTGACGTGTGACGTGTGACGTGTGACGTGTGATGTGTGACGTGTGGTGTGTGACGTGTGATGTGTGACGTGTGACGTGTGGTGTGTGACGTGTGGTGTGTGGCGTGTGGTGTGTGACGTGTGGTGTGTGGCGTGTGGTGTGTGGCGTGTGGTGTGTGGCGTGTGACGTGGGGTGTGTGACATGTGGTGTGTGGTGTGTGGTGTGTGGTGTGTGGTGTGTGGTGTGTGGTGTGTGGTGTGTGATGTGTGGTGTGTGATGTGTGGTGTGTGACGTGTGGTGTGTGACGTGTGGTGTGTAGCGTGTGGTGTGTGGCGTGTGGTGTGTGACGTGTGGTGTGTGACGGGGTCGGACAGACGGACAGCTCACGTTTGACTGTGCTCACAAAAGACCTCTGTCAAACAGTGTGTCTTCCATTGATTAGTTTACAGTGTCTTCCATTTATTAGTTTGATTATAACTGAATTATTTTATTTTTTAAATAAATAATAAATACCCAAACTCTCCCCTGCATACAAACCCAAGCAGTAACATCAGATTGAGCAACATCTCGCTCTCATCCTGTCTCTCTGGCCGCATTCATTGTCAACAGACAGACAGACAGACAGACAGACAGACAGACAGATAGACAGACAGACAGACAGACAGACAGACAGACAGACAGACAGACAGACAGACAGACAGAGATTCTGTTCATTGGCTGAGACAACTTGCATCAATCAAGCCGTTTCCCTCCATGCCCAGACAGCCTCCAGAGGAATGTGACTCTGGTCCTAGAGATGCCCATGATAGGCTATGCCGGGCTCCTGCAGAACAAATCCTTCTACAACATGCTTTTCAACGATTTGACCAACAGTGTACGTATACGTCTGCTTCTTCTTCTTCTTCTTCTTCTTCTTATGATTATTATTATTATTATTATTATTATTATTATTATAATTATTATTATTATTATTATCATTACTATTATAGATATTATCCCTTCTTCTTCTTCTTCTTCTTCTTCTTCTTCTTCTTCTTCTTCTTCTTCTTCTTCTTCTTCTTCTTCTTCTTCTACTACTACTACTACTACTACTACTACTACTACTACTACTACTACTACTACTACTACTACTACTGCAGACTTTGCATAGTTCTGTTGAATTCCTTTGTTTAAGTCAGAGTTTTACGGCACTTGCAACACAGTTCGGCCATGTAAGTGCCGAGGATTAGAGGTGTTACAAGAGAGTATTAAACAAAAAGAAAGGAGGAGAGATAAGGACGATAGATGTTTGATAGGAAAGAAGGAGGAGAGATAAGGACGATAGATGTTTGATAGGAAAGAAGGAGGAGAGATAAGGACGATAGATGTTTGATGGGAAAGAAGGAGGAAGGATAAGAATGATAGATGTTTGATAGGAAAGAAAGAGGAAGGATAAGAATCATAGATGTTTGGTAGGTAGGAAGGAGAGAAGCACACCAGAGCACCCGCCAACAACTCACTTCCTTCTTCCACAGATATGGACAGCTTGGAAAGAAGAAACCAGCGATGTGACCATACTTTCTATGTGAGTTGTCTGTCTGTCTGTCTGTCTGTCTGTCTGTCTGTCTGTCTGTCTGTCTGTCTGTCTGTCTGTCTGTCTGTCTGTCTGTCTGTCTGTCTGTCTGTCTGTCTGGTGTAGTTCTCATAACTTTTTAACTACTTCGAAAGACGCTGAAACTGGGGGGAGAGGAGGGGGGTCAGGGAGCTGTATTCCAATTTCGAAATTTGCTCTCCATTTTATCTTTTTTTTCTTCAACCGACAGGAGTATTTCCTTATTCGGTAGCTATTGATTTTGAATGTTGCACGGACGACGTCCGAATTCTACTCTTAACCATTTTAGGACCACCAGCGATTCTTTAACGCATGCGACTTGCTCAGGGGTGCTCCAAGATTTTTTTGCCCTTTTCTGACTCATTAGTTATTCGATCTTACTTACCCTAAGATCAGGCGTGTGGGTGAAAGATGGCGTTACTAAGGAACCCGGGTAGCAATGTAAAGAGTCAGGAGTCTTGGAGAGAAAATCATAGAAGGGGCGGGGTAGGAATGGAAGAGTGGGGAGAAAAATAGGACTGTGCAGGACTTTTTGTGAACATAAAAAAATGACGGAGGGAAAAATGAGCAGAAATGTTTTATTTCCTGTCCCGATTCGATCTAGGAATGTTGACTGCTATGCGAACACTGCACGTCTTGGACCACGAGAGCCGCATAGACTGAGTTTTAAGTTTTATACCTAGAAAAGCTGCATCATATTTTAGCTT